AATGCTACCACTAGCTCAGGTTGCTGATGTGTGTGTGTGTGTGTGTGTGTATATACACACACATATATCTCTCAATATATACTTAGAATTCAACTTTTCAAGTTTAAAAATGAGATCACTAGGCACCAAACCAGCATAAATGAAATTCAGCTTTAAAACTTCCAATGAAAAACATACAATCATATTGATTCTGTGTCCAAATGAGATTAAAATGTTAAGCCTGCAAGAAAGCAGCTTCAGATTTCCTCCTGAGATGTTTAAGGGCCAGGTAGTCTGAGTTTACACTGGTTAGCAGTTGCAACCAATTAGTTCATTGAAGGAACTAAAGCAAGAGAGAGATTAATATTCATCACAGCAAGGGTGTCTGCTCTGGCAAGGATTTCACGTCTTAGCCATCACTGCTTTGCTGTGAGAGCTCAGCACTGTAAACTGTCCTCATCACCCTGGGGAGAAGAAGATGCAGCGATACACCCTCTGCAACAGCTTCTGGCTACCTAGGATGAGTACGCACATCAACACATCAGCTCTTGAAAGGACACCATGAGCTGATTTATCTTCACTCTCTGATGTTCAAAATGCACTCACAAGTTCCAGTGCCTCTCCACCACTCCAACCCTGGCCAAACCCCCTGATCTCATGGTATTCATGCAGCTCAAGTTCATGATTTTCTACCCACTGCCACTCTGGGCAACCCCTCCCAACCTCAGGTTCTTCATGCAGCTACACTGTTTGACTTGCCTGTTGTCTTTTTGGTAGTGTTATCAGTGTGAGAGCTCTGTAAATAATGCATTACTTCATTCCTCCTACACAGGCCAGAGGAAACTTTCAATGGGCTTAACACAAGAGTTGGTTTTCACTTTCATTCAGTGATGACTGCTTAGATTTTCCAATCAGAACAACATCAGCATTTAGGGCTAAATTTCAATTTGACAAATAATTAAATTTCTGCAGTTCAGAGAAGCAAACATTCCTAAAACCTGACCCAACAAACCTACACAATGTGGCTCTAAAACACTGCGAATAAGCAAAGAACTACTAAAACTTCAATATCTTTAAGTGTTAAGTTTCTCTGCAAACATTATAGACTCAAGAGATTTAATACAGCTCTTACTTCATGGTTCATAATCTTGCCATAGGTTTCCACTAAGGACTCTGCATAGAAGGGTGTTTCACCATACAGCATCTCATACATGCAGACACCCAGTGACCACCAGTCACACTCAGGTCCATATTTCCCCATTCCATCTTCCATTGCTTGCAGTATCTCAGGAGAGATGTAGTCAGGTGTACCCACTGCTACTGATGACTGTACCTTAAAAATAAAGCAAACAATTCTCAGAAGTTTTCAGGTTCTCTCAGCAACTTTTTTACTCACACATTTATTTATGACAAGCAGAGACCAGGACACGATTCTGGAGAAGGAAGACATTTATACATTCACAGCAACACAACAAAGAAAATATTAAGGAAGTAACAAAGACTGCAAAGATTAAGTTCCAGTCTACTGCTACACAAAATCAGTTGCTATGTTTTATTCTGAGCACAGCAGAAACCCAAAATAATCACAGCTATTGTGAAAGCAGAAAGACAAAATGTGTTTTGCCTTTGTGTCTGTTTATACTTTAAAATTGCAACTGGCTGCCAGAAGTTTAAATGAAAAATGGATAAGTAAGGAGATCAACTTCTACCCCTGAATTTTACAGTGTCATTTGAAGATCACAAAACAAGTTCCCTGGATAAGTTTCATTTTGACAGAAATCAGTCAAATGTTTCTTGCCTAATGTGCAAGCAGATGGAATACAGGGGAAGGTGAGAAACTGCCCTGTGCCCAAGAAGTAGGGAAGCCCTGACCATCAGGGCAGTGGTAGAGCAGCTCTAACCTCTAGGAATATGTTCTCAATTCTAATGGCTCCTTCCAACTTATTTTGCATTTTTAATATGGTAAAGGCTTGGCAAGCATTTTAGGACTGGAGAATGCCACCAAGACCTGAGTTTGTGCCAGAGTAAGTGATTGATGCTGTGTGCCATACTTACACTTCGGCAGGTCTGCCAGCCCTGGAAGTGCCCTTAGCTAGGCAAACCAAACTAAACACATCACAAGTAATTTAGCTTTTAGAAGTATATCCAATCTGCTGCACAAGATGGACAATTACCATCATGCTGCTGTTCCATTTGTCAAAGGCATATAAACCAAATTGCTTGTTAATTACACAACCAGGCAATCATTTAGGTTGGAAAGGACCTTGGATATCATTGTATCCAAATGTTAACCAAGCACTGCCAAGTCCACCTAAACCATGTCCCTAAGTGTCACATCTACATGTCTTCTCAGGATCTCCAGGGATGGTGATTCCACATTTGCAGGTGTCTAAGTGCTGCAGCAGGTTGCTGACCACACCCCCTTGGATCATGGGGACTTGTGTCAGAAAGATCACAATCCACCACATCCCTGATGCATGATGATGATCTCTAAGACCATCAATTCACTTAAAAGGTCCCACTACCAGTGACCCAAGTGAATTTTGCTTCATACATACTGTGCCATCTTCACTCATTTTCAGGCAGGAGCCAAAGTCTGCCAGTCGTATGTGGCCGTTCATGTCCAAAAGAACATTATCAGGCTTTATGTCCCTGTTTGGATAGAGAGAAGTGAAAAGATTTAAACATACAGTATTAACTCTGCTTGTAAAAATTAATCTTGCACCAAAACAACACAGAATTTAAGCTGGATACCCACTGATGCAACTCTTTTTACTGTACTACTTCCAGCCCTCTCCTACTGGCCAATTAAAATTTTGCCCACAATACTGAAGACTTAAGAGTACATAGGATTTTCAAGCTCAAAGTTGAACACTGACTGTTCAAATAACCAGGCAGATCAGTGACAGTGAGTCATACTGAGTGTAACAGAAAGGCAGTTTACTCCATCAACATGATTTCAAGATGATACACATCATAACACGTCGTTTAGTAACAAGAAAGATAAAAGGCAATCTTTTAATCACATGGTTATTTGTCAGTATTTATAACTGGCTTCTTATCTAGGACAATTTTTTACTGCTTCTCTGAATTTTGCCCAGCATTTCTGTTCACCAGTACTTTTCATTTGCTATTCAAGTCTTTCTATACACTATTGCACAGCTTCTAGGACCTAAGGACCTTTGGATCCTGTGTACACTCAGCAGTTACCCCACTAGACACTGAATTCCCCCAGCCCTGGGCTCAAGGCAATGCCATTTCAGAAGGATATAGCCAGAAAGTCTCCAGTATCAATCTCATCTTTCCCATTCTTGTACATACATAGCAGGGTAGAAAATGATATACAGCAAGCTAAGGCTACTAAATTACATGGAAATAACATTCCTGTTTCACCCTAGCTCATTACTTGATATTCTTTTTTAGTTTCAGGAAGGTAGCCAAAAAGATTTACTAAAGAGCATGTTAATTTAGTTTTGCCCACCAATTAGTATCAATCTCATCTTTCCCATTCTTGTACATACATAGCAGGGTAGAAAATGATATACAGCAAGCTAAGGCTACTAAATTACATGGAAATAACATTCCTGTTTCACCCTAGCTCATTACTTGATATTCTTTTTTAGTTTCAGGAAGGTAGCCAAAAAGATTTACTAAAGAGCATGTTAATTTAGTTTTGCCCACCAATTACTCATGCTTCGTTTCATCACTTTGCAATAAATTCACACCAAGTGAAGTATCAGTAAAGGATCAGCTATTCAGACAACTTGATAGGACAGTCCTGACACACAGTATGTAGTAGTTTTGTGGGGTTTTTTGTAGGTTTTGTTTTGGTTGGGTTTTTTTAAAATTATCAGCCTCAAAATATCCCAAATGATTTTAAGAGCACCTAGCCAATATGTTGGGAAGGTGGCAAGAAAGGAAGAGGGAAGAGTAAGTGCAGAAAGCAAAACCAGCTCAGTTCTGTACCAACTCTGCAGGCTAAAACTCTGCAAGGTAACATACACCAGTCTCCTTCCCTTAGCCAACAACACCCAGGATCAGCTCCAGCATGCTTGGATATTATCATGCCATTTCTGATAGACTATTTTTCATCTCAGCTAGCCCCCAAAATGACAACCAAACCAATAAATCTGTTGATTTGGGTATGGGGTTTCTTTGATGTTATATTTATTCAACATATTTATCCACGAGCCATACATAAAACCACATGTGCTTTACCTTAAACCCACCAGTCTTGTAGCACCATAAATCCTGTATTTATTTTCAAAGGTGAAGTTCCAAATGCCCAAAAACTTAAAAATTGTACATTACCTTCGGCTTAAGTTTTGAGGAGACTAAAATTACTAGGAGCAAACAAAAAAAAGGGCTCTAATACAGCTTGCTACATAGGTGTAGGAGCTGACAACATCTGATTTTTAAGGTGCTGAATTCCAGTTTCACACCTAAGGAGACTTGTGAGAAAAATCTTGCTAGGTTTAACAAAGGGTCCTCATATGTGTAAAAATCCTGCCAACCTGATACATTTTTCCAACACAAACTTGAATTAACCTTTTTTACCCAAGGTCTAATGCTTTGAAATTAATTACTGAAATGTCACTAATACTGCTGCTCATTAGCAGCATTAAGACAAAATAATAAATGCTAATCCATGCCTGCCAACATCAATTTCAATGCACACTTACTTGTGATAACAGACAAGTATGTGCTGAGAAAATTAGACTATGTCACTATGCTTTCCCAATAAACCCATTAGTAGTTTTGTACTGTTAAATATATTCCATACATTTCAGTTCTAGATACTGCCACCAATCCCTTACAGTCCCATCACCACAAGTCAAGCTCAGTAGTTGCAGGGGACTATGAAAGCTAATATACAACTGTGCACTGTTTTGTTTGCTCTTTGAAGAACACTCCCCAGTGCCATTCTCACACACACACTCCTCTGCTTCACATGCAGATCTCACTTGCCTAAGGGAACACTACTGCAGTCCAGAACAGCTTAACGCCTCATCTCTGAGCTCCACTGTTTGCTATCTACAGCTAACAGGTCATATAAACCTTTAAAGGGACCTTGAAATCCTTTCCAGAGCAATCATGCCTCCTCCTAATCCATTCTAGTTGCCAAGCAGTAATTTCTTGGGCATTCATACATCTCCTCTTCAAAGCATATGTTTTGGCCTCAGAGACATCCATTCCTAGTTCATTCAACCTCAAGAAAAGATGCAGCTGGTCAGTCAGTGTGGACACTTTCCTGGGAAATGGGTGCGGTGGTGTCTCTGGGGAACTTCTCTAAGGCTTTAACCTTTTTAAACCCCCACATATTGTCCACGTTTACTCACAGGAGTTTTACAGAGAGAATGATCTGAAGTTGTGTCAGGGGAGGTTTAGGCTGGAGATTAGCAGGAGGACAACAGGGCACAGACTCAAGCTCTGCCAGGGGAGGGTTAGGTTGGATATTAGGAAGAGATTTTTTTACAGAGAGAGTGCTCAGGCATTGGAATGTGCTGCCCAGGGAGGTGGTGGATTCACCATCCCTGGAGGTTTTCAAGGTGAGACTGGATGTGGCACTTAGAGCCATGGTCTAGTGACCACAGTAGGGCTGGACTTGATGATCTTGGAGGTCTTTTCCAACCCGGCTGATTCTATTAAAATGGTTCTTCCCCCAGGGGTGTTTGGGCACTGAACAGCTCCCCAGGGCAGTGTCATAGCCCCAAGGCTGACAGAGCTCCAGAGGTGTTTGGTCAATGCTCTCAGGCACAGGGTGTGATTGTCAGGGATGCCTGTACAGGCCCAGGAGTTGGACTAGATGATCCTAAGGGGTCCCTTCCAACTCTGATTAGTCTGTGATTCTCTGATTCTTTTCTAGTGAAGTTTTACAACAGCAATCAGAGTCCAAACAGAAGAGTTCAAAGCATTATGGTCTGAGAATTCCCTGTGTTTTTTAACCACAAAACACAACCTAACTTAATCTGATGGTAGCCACTGATCTGGACTTCACATCTTGTGTGCAGAAACAATTAGCCTGGCACACGCCCACTGACTACAAAAACTGTTTGAGAATGACCTCAGGTAAGTAGATGCAGTCATGTTATGGGTTTACTGTGCATAAATTTTGCAGAATGTCTAAACATATGTAAAAAAATTCAAACTGTTTCAAAATTCTAGGTTGGCTTGGACAAAGGCAGATAAATATTCATTAGGTGAAGTCAAGAAGCCTGATTAAAAATAAAAGCTTCAGGAAAAGGTTAGTCAGATAAATGTCACTGCTTCTAGTATCAATCCATCAAAACTTGATATTTAAAATGCAATAGCTTATACAGCTATTATACAGTGCACAGTAAGCACGTGCCCCCAGGAGTTTGCCTGTGGCTACCGTGACCATTTGCATATGTAGCAATATCTTTAGGATTAACTCCTGTGCTGGTTTGGGCTGAAGTAGAGTTAACTTTCTTCCCAATGACTTGTATAGGACTGTGTTTAGGGTTTGTGCAGAGCACAGGGTTGATAATGTAGAGCTGTTTTTGTTGTTGCTGAGCAGAGCTCACACAGAGCCAAGGCCTTTGCTGCTTCCCACACTGGCAAGGAAGTTGAGGTGCATGGGAGATTGGGAGGAAACACAGCTGGGACAGGTGATCCAAACTGCCCAAAGGGATATTCCATACCACAGGACACCATGCCATGCTCAGTAAGTGGGAGAAGGAGGAAGGACGAACATGTGGAATGATGGTCTTTGTCTTCCCAAAGAACCATTACATGTGATGGGCTCTGCTCCCCTGGAGATGGCTGAACACTTCCTGCCCATGGAGAGCAGTGAATTAATTCCTTGTTTTGCTTTGCTTGTGTGTGCAGCTTTTGTTTTGCCTATTACACTGTCTTTATCTCAACACATGAGGTTTTCTAGCTTTTACCCTTCTGATTCTCTCCCCTATCCCATTGGTGGGGGAGTGTGTGAATGTCTGCGTGGTGTTTGTTGACTGACTGGGGTTAAACCACAACAACTCCATACAACTGTTCAGGTATTTTTTTCCCAATGAGATGGTGTTTTACCTGTGCACATAATGCAGCTCATGTATGGAATGGATAGCAAGCACCATTTCCCCAATGTAGAACCTGGCCATGTCTTCAGGAAGCTTGTCTTCAAACTTACTGAGGAGGGTCAGTAAGTCACCACCAACATAGTAGTCCATCACAAGGTACTGAAAAGAGAGAAGCAAAGCAGTCAAGTACTGAGAGACAGCTGGTTAAGAAAAAAATATACAGAGTCCATCAGTTAATCCCTGAAAAAAAACCTTTCGCTATTATTTTTCTGTGCCAGTGGAAAGTAGTTAAAACTGGTGATCTTCTGTTTTATTGTTATTTGCTTACTTAGTGTAGCAAGATATCATATTCCTTTACTAATCACAGTAAGAATGTGATAAGATCCATGGAAGGGACCAACACTGATCGGGGTAACATGAAAGAAAAGGACTCAGGTGTGTTATTTATTTCTCAGGCCACAACACAAGGTTTACATTTTAGTATTTCCTAGCAATATCCACCTAAATCCAGACCATCACTTAGAGTACAATGACTTTATCTAGTACTACCTGTCTCTAGCCACTTTGTTCCATGCTTCCCAAGATGATTTGACATATGTTTTAGGAGTAACTTTGCTAAGTTTCCAAAGCAGTCATCTTATTCTTCTCCCCAAAGTAAAGCAGCCTAGAACCCACCACTCCAGTTACACTCATCTTCCACAAGGGAAGGAAATTAGAGAAAAGAGGAACGCAAAGGAACATAAAGTACAATACTAACCATTTCCTCACTATGTTTTGGCTTAAAAGAGCACCTCCAAAAGGCGTGAGTTTTGGGTTTTTTTCTCCTTATTATTCAAAGTACAGATTACTCTGACAAGCAAATTTCATCACTTATCTCGAAATCAATCAGTGTGCATTGCACCAAAGAACTTTAAACATGTGCTGAACACTGCACACATGCAACAATTTTGTCTGAAACCAAAAGGTTACAGGCAGGAACCATCAATCTCCTGAAAGGGATATTGTATTACAGTATTTTCTCTCCAAGGCAAAAAGACCTGACAGAGCCTTCTGTGGGAAGTGAAATATCCTGCCTGTCAGACACAAGGTAATGCACTGCCCTCAGCTCCCAAAGCATTTAGAACTCAACAAGAACTCAGCTGACCCACGAAGCAAAGCACTTGGATCTGAGAAAGATGGTAAGATGCCTTCTACAAGAACGCAAAATTTTACTCGTCTTTCAATTCACAATGATCTACTTGCCAGAAGGTGCTTCTCCCTTCACATGGGGTTAACATAAAGGGCTGAAATCTAGAGGTATCACGTTTCTTCCAGAGAAGTGACTACATCAAACAGGGTGAGAGTAGTTGGAAATCAAAGGAAAAAAGGATATCAAAATACTCTCAGGAGTACTCAGAAGTCTTTATGGGGCTGACAGCAAACACACATCTGCCTTTCTTCACGAATCAGACTGGGAAAGAAAACGAAGATCTGAACCTAGAAGAGAACTTCAGGTTTCATACAAGTTTCTAATATTCATGGACTATGTTTCACCTACATCACACCTCTGCTTCAGCAAAAGCACCAAAGGCTTACTTGACCCATCTGGACTCAAGTTGTCTCTATGAAAGCTTTCTAAGAACCAGAAAAAAAATCATGCTAGCACTTCCATGTAATGCCATTTAAGAGTTGGCTCTTTAGGAAACACCAAGGCATGGTGTGTTTGCCTCACACATTTTACAACTACAGCAGGAGAACCAGAAAATGAACTCCAGAACACACACATTTTGTAGGATTTTGTGTTTCTTGCTTAAATATAACTTCTGCATCATTAAATGCTCCATTAACATTAAATAGAGAGAATAAAACCCTAATTACTTTTAGCCTCTCCAAAGGCAGCTACTACTCTTCCACTTTAACATCTTAGCTTCTCTTTGCCTGTTCTGAGCCCTTCACCATGCAGCCAGAGGAGGCAAAGCTCTGGGTGTGAGAAGACACCAAGGTTCTCTCTCTGCTTCAGGGATAGCTTACATGGGTTTGCACTTAACAACCACTACTTACAAAGCAGAAACATCACTGGAAGGAGACACCAGAACCTACAACTTTCAGAGGACCTGGTTGGAAAACCAAGCTCTGTCATCTGTTCTTCTGTTCTCAGCTTTGCATTCCACTCTGCAAGGATCACGGATGAACAGCACAGCTAAAAAGTAAACCAAATCTGCCCAGGCTCTGTAATAAGGCAGCATTCCCCAGGATAAGGAAAGATGTGGCTATGAACTTGTTCAGGCTCAGAACAACAGAGATCTTTTAGCCCCTTGGACAAGTACCAGATGGTATGGAAAAGAACCTTCTGTCCAGGTTTTCAGATGAATGCAATTTCCTTACGTTTTTCACCTTTTCTTCACACATCATTTACAACAGCGACTGAGATGCAGATCCACTCCATCTGGGAGCACCAGACATTCACAGGAGATGGATGCTGAGTAAGAGACCAAATTGGAAGGCACATCCCAGCACATGCAGAACCAGACCCCAGGCAAGATGGGAATCTGCTGACTTTGGCTACTGGGAAGAGCTGTTGCTTTCTCAGATACTGGATCTTAAATTAGATGCTAGACGTCTACATTCGGCTGTTAACTGAAACTTCAACATCTAAATGCTTTTTGGGAAAAGAAAATGTATTTATATTGATATATATTGCTTGGAACAGATGATATTAGCCACACTAGATCCCCCTCTATAATGTCATTACTCCCACTTTTATCTTGCACAGCTCCCAGTTTTTTCTTGGGTAGCTCCATTCTTACAGACTACATGGAAATGGGATATAAAATGCTTTAGGTTATTTTTAAGCAAGGCTAAAGACTGTTTGGTTCTTCAGGAATTTGAAATTCTAACTACCTCCATAAGGCAGTGCCAGGGATAATTAAACTGTTAGAGACTGAAAATCTGGATGTATCACAAAGCATTCAATGGAAATGGCCTGTAAATGAGGGCCTAGACATGACTAGTTACTTGCTTACGTTTTGTGTTACTCTAAAAATACTTCAAACATGACAAAGCAATTTCCAGCAGTGACAGGTTAATGGTTGGACTCGATGATCTTAGAGGTTTCCTCCAACCTTGATGGTTCTATGAAAGTGTTTTGTTTCAGCATCTGTGGAAATATTTGAGTATTTTCTCCTTCCATGCTTAGTCCCTGAATTCTTTGGCAGCCTTTTATCAATACCTTTATTTTATTATTTATAGTCATGACTTGCTACTCTGGTACTACCTAAAAAGTGTTAAGAAGGTGAAAACCTTCACACTAAACTGTCAGTTGTTACAGAAATAGCAGGTTTGCAAACCCAGCCTGAAATAGCCACAGGGAAGCTGTTTGGTTCAGCATATTACACTATGTTGGGGCTTTACTGACTTGGCTCCTAACCAATACTCTCCTGTACTCTGTGACTAAGGTAAACAGAGCTTATATAGTACAGCTCTAGTAACCCAGCATTAAAAAAATGTCATAGGAATAAGGACTTTATAAATGGTTGTTAAAGCCTCTCAAACTTCTGAGACGACCAATCTGCTTAATTAAAAACATACTTTATAAATACGTGAAAGAAATTGGCTTTTAATTCCCTAAGGCTTTTCAAATACCAAAATTTTAAATGACTTTTGCCAGTTTTGAACAAAATCTTGCTTCAAAAGACATTCTGAATGTTCCAAATAAAGTATTTCTTACTTTCACAGAGGTAAAACCTCTCAAGTTATTGCACTGCAACCTTATAGAAAACATTAAATCTGAACATGATATATTTATGCAAGGGTAGATTAGTTAGTTTAAGATGCTTAACTAAGCCTCTACATACATACTACAGCACTACACAACTTTCTCACTCTCCTGGAGTTACAGTCAGCCCCTTTGAAGTTTTTCTTCAAGGAGAAAACAAGAACGTTGAGACACTGCTGCGAGGCATGAGGTGCACTGATTTAGTGCACTAATATTCTCAAACACACCAAACCCAGAGTTCTTTCACAACTTAAAGCTTTTATTTGCTGATGAATCAAACATACCAAATAGTTCTCATCTTGAAAGGCATAGTGCAATGTAGTAATCCACTGACAATCTCCATTCACCAGGACATTTCTCTCCTCTCGGAAACAAGCGGTCTGAAGGAAGAGAAGGGGGGGAAAAGCCATTGTCAACATCAACAAGCAGTTTTCACAGGATGAATATATATGGATGTTTTATGGGATTATTGAAAATTACTGAACAGAGGTCTCTATTCATTGGGATTCAGGCTGCACTAGGGACAAGCCAGGGAATCGCTGCAGGATTGTAGGGAGGCATTCAGACACTCTAATCCCAACTGCAACTTGAAAAAAGACACCCACAAAAAACCCCTAACCCCCTAAAAAACCTTCACAACAGCACACAACACCCCCCCAAACACCAAACAGCTTACAAAGCAACCCAAAGCAACACTAAGTCTTTGTTTCATAAACCATTTTTAAAAGCCAGGAAATGATAACTTGTCACTGCAATCTGTAGCAGAAAGATTATGGCTCTAGGAAAGTAAGTCTGGTCCTTCTGAAAAAGACCTTGATGAAAACAGTTTAATGCATACTTTTCTTACATTACAGTCCCAGTTCCAGACACTGCCAACACACTATAGGAAATCAGCAGATTTTACTATTGCTGTCTTATCTTTGACCAGTATAATACATTTTCATTTTCAGTCATCTTCCCTCCATTGCAAACAGCACATTGCAACACTTCAGAGAAGCAATTTCTGTGCAAAAGGTTTTCTCAGCATCTTTACACAAACCCAATTTTCATAAACTTCAAGAAAGTCCTCCTTAATAAAAATATATTAACCTTTCTATTGGATCAGAACCATCAAGGCACAGACCTTGGGAGTTTTTCACTACTCCCAGCTCAGACAGACATTATTAGGATACTTGGTACCTGCAGTTTCAGGTGTTTGGGTTCTAAGTGTTTGGGTTTGTTAGGAGCTGCAGTGGCAGGACAAGGGGCAATGGGCACAAACTGAAAGAAGGGAAATTTAGGTTAGATATTAGGCAGAAGTTTTCCCTGTGAGGGTGGTGAGACACTGTCCCAGGTTGCCCAGGGAGGCTGTGGCTGCCCCAACCCTGGCAGTGTTCACAGCCAGGTTGGCTGAGCCTTGAGCAACCTGCTCTGGTGGGAGGTGTCCCTGCCCAGGGCAGGGGTTGGGACTGGATGATCTCTAAGGTCCATTCTAAAATTCTATGATAAATAATTCTAGACAAGAACTGAGGTGTTTTTTTTATTGCCACTTGTTCAGATGTCTTAGAAAATGTACTATGGAAACGTGCCTGGGAAACCCAAACTTTACCATATACTGACTGCACCTTAAAAAGGTATCAGGAGCATTTTTCCCCCCAAAGGAGCAAAATTCAATTTACATTTCTACTGAAGACGACCATGCTGTGTCCACATTGTGAAGTTAGAAATCACTGGTGCAAAGAGAAGCAAATGATAATTAAATGCTGAGTGGTTTAACGGTTTATGAATGCAAGGCCAAAAAAAGGCTCTACAAAAAGTTTGGCAGCTCCAGCAACTCCAAGTAATCCTATCCCCTTCCTGCAGCACCAGAGCACAGCAGTTCTCAGATCTTCTGGCACCATCATGGGAGGAGGCTGCCAACACAGAAAACTAGTTTGTTTATTTTCTAAGACATCAGTTCCTTGATCCAGTTCACTGTGCAACCTCAAATAGCGAGGGGATGTTTATGAACACCGAAACTCAGTAATGCCGCTGAACACTTTCCATCATCAATTCAGAGTATAAAACTCTCCTTCTCTGCTTACACTAGCTTAAAAGGCCTTGAGACATGACTTGAAACAGCATGACCTAATCAGCCAGTCAGGACTTATTTGGAACTGTCAACACTAATACCCTAATGACTGTGTATTTTGCTGTCCCAACGATGAATACAAATGGTTCAAAGGATTCACCTTATCAAAATAAATGCCATGCCTCTTTTTGCCTGCAACCCATTTATGGATGCCAGGTGATATTCACTAATCTTTCCTGTATTTTAGTGGCTTCTAACCACATGGTTTTTTTTTTCTTGCAGCTAGTACATGAATAAGCAGTATTTAGATAACTTCTTGCTATGTTTAGCAAGTCACACACAACAAACATAAACCAGTATAACAACATGCTTCTTAGACCACTCATGCAGTGGATAATAGAACACCTGAACTCTGCTTTTCAGTGCTATTCTTGCAGGCCTCATTTTAAAAACTAATGAGTTTTACCATATTTGGGAAATTTTAACACCCAGATGTTGTGTGAACTTGATATGCAGGTTATTAAGTCTTGCTTATCCAGAAAAGCCAAAGCAAGAGAGCAAACCAAACAGGAAAAGGTAAAGGGGCCCAGCAGAGAAGAGGGTTCTTTTACTGTCCTTTGTAGATGGGGAAAAATCAGCAGAAAGAGAAGTTTTCTGGACTGTTACTTATCCTAAGTGTGTACTGGGGAAACTATTGCTCACTATACATCTTTCTTGGCAGCCAAATCTCTTCCATCTCTTGCCTGTCTGAGAGGGTAAGAGGAGTTTGTTGCATGATTTGAAGACAATTTGTAAACAGCTTTCTGCTCAGGACATCTCTACACACAGAAGTTGCAGCTACTTAGGCAAGACATTTAATGAAGTCACTTTAAGAATGAGTAAGCCAAGCGTAGCTGTATTTCCATCAGAGTTTGGGAGACCCCTGCAAACATGTGTGTTTAAAAGACTTCTGTACTGACCAATGAATCAACACAGCTGAAATCTGCACAGAAAGGGCACCAAATTTCCCCCATGCAGGGGAAGGCTGAATGCAGAAGCGCTGATGCAGCACAGCGCAGAGTGTGAAATCCCCTGACAGCTCAAAGGACAGCAGGGAGACAGCGGGTCCTACTGCCAATGGCATGGATGGATGGGCTGAGTGTGACTAAATCAGGCAAAGGCTGCGGTGAAGAGGGGCTTAACAAGAGGGAGGAGGTTTAATCACAGGAAAAGGGCTGGCACTGACTCACTGAAAGGAAGGGAGGGACGAGGAAGGGCAGCTGGGGGGAGGAGGTGTCAGGAAAGGGACAGAAGAATGGGACAGGGAAGGGTCAGCAAAGTAGCCAGTGCTCACCGCTAACAGAACTGCTGCGAGTCCTGATGCACTGTGTGTATTTTCTCCTCAAATCCACTGCTCATTTATGTTCTAACTTATATATTCCATTTGCCATAAGGTTTTTCTCAACCATACAAGAGTAGGAATATTCCTAGGAATATGCTGCTTCCCACAGTGTACACAGTGTATTCTTAGTAGGTCTTTTCCTAATCTGTGAAGTACTTACATCATTTGTTGTGACTATGTACATCTCCTTTCACCAAAAACACTCTTCCTAAACAGATTTACCTTCTTAGCACGTTTTGTTTTACAACCCGAATCTCTGATTTCTAAATATTTAGCTATAGTCTCACTAGTTACACAAATCCTGTTGCAAACTGTAGGATGCAAAGCTCCTTAATGTATGTTTTCTGAATGGAAGCAAAAAAAAGGCCTTTTCATAACGTTTTTGTATACAGCTGTGAATGTCATAGCAGCAGCAATCTCAGCTTTCATGCAGTCTTTAACTTGCCTTTACTGTAAACAAAAATCTGGCCAATAAATTCAGGGTAAGAACTAGGGCAGACTGTCTGGTAAACGAATACACAGCGATGCTGAGAACAACAGATGCCTGGAAGGGACTGTCAGACTTGATTGCATTAAAACAGCTTAAGGAATAAAAAAAAAAAAAAAAAAAAAAGAATGAAGCTCCTATGCTCATGAAATAATTCTTCCTAATCTGGAAGAGCTTCAATGTAATCTTACTCATGTCATTGTAAAAACCCTCTGTGTTAAAAAATGATGTCACTTACCTCTGCCCTTTTAAGCATTTCCCATTTATTTAGAATTTTCATGGCATAAATGCGCTCCGTGCACTTCATTTTAACAACTGCAACCTGAAATAATAAGATACCTTTATTTAACAACAGCATGGTCAGAAAAACACAACATTTAAACAGCTCAATACTCACACAAAAGCATGGTCAGAGAAATACAGTTTGCAAACAGATTAATGCTCACAGATCAACTAAAGTTATCACTGCTGATCAATTCACACATTGATAAAGTACAGCTTGAGTCTTTGCTCCTTCTGTACTCCTCTTACATCACTGCTGTGTGCTTGATGCACCATGTGTGGTCAAAGTGCTGGTGATGAAGCACAGGGGGATGATGCAGGAGGAGCATGAAGGCTTTCATATGAAGATGGGCAGCAAAGCTGCATTGTTTGCCAGGAACAAGCAGAGCTTGGAGCCCTGGCTGCAGCCAACGGGGCAGCATTCCATGGGCAGCCTGAGAAAAACAAGAAGGGCTGCTGTCCATAGAAATACCCTGCATTTGCCTAAGTTGTGTTCAGGTCTCAGAAAATTGAAAGATATTAGCAGGTTAGCATGTTTTTGTGTACTGTATGCAGCTACTTTAAAATAACCCCCCCAATGTTTATTTATTCACCATTTTGCTCGAAGCATTTTACTATGCATCCTGTGCATGACTTGCTTACACTGATCTATTATCAACAGTAGCTGTCACAGTGGAACAAAAAACCAGAAGAATACAAAAAAAAAAAAAAATCAAGGCTTAGGAATGCAAAGACTTTATTTTGACTGAGACTTGTATTCTCCAAGACCAAAACTAATTCTTCTTGTGGTAAAGCCATGGTTTCCACAAAATTCTTCCAGCTGGCAAAAGAAAAACAGGCATCATGACTAAGACAGCAACATTTTTACAGGGCTATACATGGACTGCTTGACAATTTCTACTGCTTCTCAACTCATCTCTATTTCAGAAACCCAACCAGCTTTCATTGCTTCCAGCAGAGCCCTGAATAGCAGTGTGAAAAGTAACAGCAATGACATCAGTTTGCCTCCTCTGTTGCTTAAAAACTCTCATCTATAAGGGATTCAGGAGCTACAGCAGCTCTGAGATGATGCTGACTATAAAAAAAATGCTGGAATAGTGCATCAAGCAGAGCAACACTATACAAAGTCAGAAATCCTGAGGACAGAAGAGGGAGATGTAATAGTTCCCTGCACCTCACCAATAAGAAGCTCCAGATGAGGGGAAAGGGGATGAATGATTCTCCAGTAACAGCAATGGGATATACACATGTAGACAGACACCTCACTCAGCAGGTGCATACCTAAGCCTTCCACCCCTCAGTGAGTGAAGCTCCACTCACCAGGTCACTGTAACAGCACGTAGTACACATCTGCACAGAGTCATGTAATGGGAACACAGCTCTAAGGAAGGTCCAGCAGGTACACACTGCAGGGCAATCTGGCCCCAAACACAGCTAGGAAAGGCACAGCTAAAGAAGCAGCTGCTCTATGAGGAGAGGCTGAGGGAGCTGGGGGTGTTCAGCCTGGAGAAGAGGAGGCTCAGGGGAGACCTTATCACCCTCTGCAACTCCCTGACAGGAGGTTGGAGTCAGGTGGGGATTGGTCTCTTCTCCCAGGCAACCAGCAGCAGGACAAAAGGGCACAGACTCAAGCTCTGCCAGGGAAGGGTTAGGTTGGATATTAGGAAGAGATTTTTTTACAGAGAGAGTGCTCAGGCATTGGAATGTGCTGCCCAGGGAGGTGGTGGATTCACCATCCCTGGAGGTTTTCAAGATGGGACTTAGTGCCATGGTCTAGTGACCACAGTAGGGTTGGACTTGATCTTTGAGGTCTCTTCCAACTCAGCTAATTCTGTGATTCTAAGCATAGAATATCCACAGCTACATTCCACTCTCGGTGTCACCTGGCCTACAAACACCTCCTACAGACACTGCTTATGCAGTGGGAGAAGGATGAGCAAGACAAGAAAGTCTCAACCAAACACAAGAGGTTCCTTGGCACATACAAAATCGTTCAACACTGACCTTCAGTAATAGCCTAAAATGCAAACAGCCTTGCTCCTGCCTCATCACAGTTAAAAGTCACTGTAACAACCTCTCTCCACACACTTAATTGGGTCATTACCCTGATCCAGCCGAAGGCACGCTGTAAGTCAAATAGCACATTAAAAGCTTTGAGAAACTACAAAACGCTGACATTCCCCACTACACTTTTTAAACTGTTCCACACAGCACATGAGGAGCCAGGAAATAGCCCCTGCACCTCCAGTGCAGGGACAGAGCAGCACCAAGCAAGGACAGAGCAGCTCCAAGCACTGTTACCTGCTGCAGAGGAACAAACCAACAGTCTGGAGCAGATGCAGATTGCCAGCAGAGCTCTATGAGCCCTTAAGTGGCAACATTCCAGTTTCACTACATCACAGTCCTAGAACTGCTCAGCCATTTAAGCAGAAATCCAGTGCACAAATCAGAACCCACAGAGGCATCTACTGCATTTCATCTATGGCCATCACTGTCTGAGAGCACTGCAGGATAGCACAAGTTTGGAGTGTGCTCAACTGCTGAGGGACGATGAGAGCCTGGAATCATGGAGGATCAAATGTTAGAACAAAGTAGTAAATGAAACAGGCCTGGAAAAAAAAAAAAAGACAAGAAAAAAGGATGCAAATCTGTAGGACCTATTTAGAGATTCCCCAGTTGCTAACTATATTAGTGCCATTTATTTTCAACTGAAAGGACCGCTTAAAAAAGACCAATTTAAACTTACTGGAGGATGATAATTGTCTTCTCTGGAAGAAAAAGTAGAATTCATAAAAAGAAAGTTGCTTCATATATTCACATTAACTGGTTATCAAGTTATGGCATCAGGAAACACACTGCTGCTTTAGTTATAAGGGCGACAGTGAGACAGCTTTTCATGGCAGCCAAAAAATTAATTGAACCATATAGCAGATTAGGCAATTCCCCATGAATTTTATCTCTGAAAAGAAATCTGAGAGGTGCTGAAGATTCCTCACAGAAGTGACAGAAGTTTTGCCTGACCAGAGCTGACTCCTCAACCAGTTCAACTCATTAGGGGTTTTTTTGTTTAAAGGCAACAAACAGAAGAGTATAACCCAAACCTCATCGATGCCTGAACTCGAGCAGGGAAGCACAAACGAAATTATGCCTTGATAAACTCAGTGCTATTATAAGCAAGAGCTTCTTCCATGAAACACCTCAGTGTTGCCTCAGGCTACCTTTCATTTACTTTCTTCATCAGGTGGCAGCATTTCTAAGTTTACTTTTGTCATAGAATGCTTTGGCTGCTTCAGAGATGATGTGGCAGAGTTGTTTTTTCTCGCTTTTGTATTAATTCCTCTTTCTCTAGCATACCTCAAATTCAATGACAATAACCACACCGACCACTTTGTGAGATCAAATAGAAACCTTTTGTATTGCAATTGTGCTGTGTGTGGTTTTAAATCACAGAATCATCGAGGTTGGAGGAGACCTCTAAGATCATGGAGTCCAACCATTAGCCTGCCACTCTGCTGGAACCCTTAAACCATACCCAAACCCTAAACCATACCCACTATGATGGTTTTTACACTACACACTGATCCACCACATCCACTAACGTTAGAAAAAACCCATTCGGTTGGTGTTCTGGGGTATTCCAAACGACACAGATTTGTGTACTTTAAGAACAAAAGAATTGTTTCTATCTTCACAGTTTAAATGTCTACTGGCTGAACAAGTGCTCATGTTATGCACAGGACATGATTCCATTTTGGTGCTCACTCTTCATTTCCAAGGCTAATACAACTTCCACTATAATAGAAATCTAAACAAAAAGAAGTATGTTAAGGATAATGAAAGGAAAAAATTGTACAAGCAGAAGTATAATAAAACAGCTTCTGAAGAAGAAGATTTAATAACCTGAAATACTCCAGGCCTGGAAGAGATAACTGCTATGACAGACACATGAAACCATGAATGTCAAGGCAGAGATGAACTGAAAACAATAATTTGCTGTTCGCATAACACAGAGATTGAAAAGCATCAAATAAAATAAAAAGGTACCAAGACTGAGGAAGTATTATTGTCACACAACACTTCTGGAACTCAGCCACAACTGCTGTGGACACCTAAGTGTTCAGAAAGTATTTAAGGATGTACATGCTTAATAGCTGAGTAACACAAACTGCACAAATCCAGTGAGTACTGACTGCTGAGTTAGAGGTGTGGGTTAGGGAGTCCCTGAACCCTCAGCTGCTGGAAACTGGGAGGGTTCAGCTCTGCTCTGAATTTTGCTTCCTACACCTCTCTACCTGGCCAAAGGGATGGGATGTAGGCTAACTAACCCACATACCTTTGACCCAAACAACTACCTCTGATACCTGTGTCAAGCTAAGAAAATGAAAACCTGCATGTCATGCCAGGTTGGAAGGGAGAAAGAATCAGAGGGTCTGAACACTCAACAACCAGAGAGTAGTCTGACAGAGAGATTTAGGTGATTCTGTTTTACTAAGCCTTAAAACACTGACAAGGAAAAACTGCAGGTGCAAGGGTTCCCCCACCACTGCCACTCTGGTTCCAGGCATCTGTGGGTCGATTGATTACCATCTGAGTTGATTAGCATCACTGTGACTGCCATGCTCAAGACTCAGGCAACAGGAAAACTACAATAAAGCTCAAGTATGTTTGCTGAAGGACCTCAGAAAGCCTAATGAGTCATAGTGCCTATACTTCAACCAACTTTAGACGTGTTTATGTCAAAGAAATGTATGAGAACTGGGGCTAAAGCTTAAGTGAGATCCAGCTATGGTAACTACACACCACAACACCCAATCAGATCTGTATTACTTCTGCCATCTGTTTTATTCCTGTACTTTGTGCCTCACAGCTGTTTGTACTGCAATAAAATAAAACAAAGAACCAATGCAGCTAAAGCAACTTTCCTAGACTTTGGCAAGAGCTAGCATTTTGCTTCTTTAATTGTTTTATAGAGCTATTTTGGTACATTTCAGTCTTCAAAACCCACTCAATACTGACATTTAGGGCTGCAATGTGCAAAGT